AGGAAAAATTGAAAAAGAGCTAAAGTTCACGGACAAGCCAGGGGTCATAGGTTCATCCGCAGGTGTTCGGGTCGCTTCGAGTTCAAAGGGTAGGCCTGCTTCTTGTAGTGCACCGTGTGGATGCCTGCAGGGTGCCTGATGGGGAGGGGAGCCGACGTCTCAATGGTGCAGCTGCTGCTCGTGTCCATTTGCTCCACCAAGGACACCTCCATGGACTGGTCTATGGAGCTGCCGGGGGCCAGGAGGGTCAGGCTGTCTGTCAGCGAGGGGCCCTGAGGCCAGCAGTCCCCTCCTGCAAACTTCAGTGGACTGAAACAGAAGACAGGAGACACCTCAGTCATCATTCTTGTCTACAGCCGTCTCAATAGGAGGCGGGAGTCATTTCCCAACACAAACGGTGCACGTAACGTTCCAGGAGGCGAACGTGTTGGTGAACGCAGACTGTTTAAACGATCGCTGAAGAAAATGAAACTACAGTAGTTATGAAGTCATAACAGCAGCTGTCAATCAATTTTGTGGAGGGAGAACGAGCTCGAGGTCCAGTGTCAGTTTGCAGAAAGACGTTATTTCCAGTTGAACGGCTCATCGATAAACAGCGTTTGGACATTTTAACACCAGCCGACGTCCGGCAGCGCCTGAGCTGCACTCAATTATTCATTAATCATTGCACAGACGTGCACGGAGGAGCCTGTCTGCTGAAAAGGGTGTCGCTTCCTTCGTGATAAATCTGTGGACAAACGGGGACGGAGTGGAGACTCTGCTGGGAAGAACCCCGCGCGGTGACGTATGCTGCAGTGGGAGGGGCTTCCCAGGAGAGCCGTGTCTGTCGTGCGCTATGCGTGCACAAACTCACGTCCCGCAACCACGAGTCGACTGCTCAGCTTCAGGTGGGAGTACGCAGGGCGCTTAAGAAGCCGAGGAGGCGGCGACCATAACGTTTGGTTACAGGTCGACTGAGACGTAAAATTAATTTAAAAATTTTAAAGTGATTTTTTTTTTAAATCCGCAAGACTTTCCCTGTATTCATGAAAAATGTGTATACTTTACAAACTTGACAAGTATGACAATAAAATGAGGTACATTCAGGTTGAACTAAAACTGGACGGATGTTATTTATTGTTTATGTCGGTGTGTGTAGGCGGCTACATCACCGCCCGCCGCTCGTTACCGACTCGTCTACTGCGAAACATAAAGCTGCCAAAACAAAACGTTATTTTCTCCCATCTGCCTTTAAGGCTCTTACCAGAGACAGAACTGATTTAAAAGCATGACAGTGTTTTTATTTAAAAAAAGCTGATTGATTTATTTTAATTTACCAGCAACAGAACTTGTGCTCCAGAAAAAAAGGCTCAAAACAGAAAATTATCTCAGGACTTTCACATTTTTGTCCTCTTGACTGTCTCACTAATAACTCGTATATAAAACACTACAAAACTTTACAAACTGTGTTAGAATTTGATAAATGTTGGAGAAAAGTTATGATAAATAAAAACAAGGCTAAAAATTACTCCAGAAATATAAAAATAAAAGTCTTCTATTCCTTTAGAGTCAAACAAAAGTTTGGTATATCTGTAGAACTATCAGTTCTTTATCTAATTATTCACGAGTAATACAGATGGACTAAATATTCACGTGTGGAGTTTCATTATAAAGTTAAACTTTAAGACCCACTGGTCTGACTTTACTCAGTACAGGTCACTGCTAAGAGTCAATCTGTCATAAAACGTATCTTTGACAATCAGGATTCATAAAAGCACGTTTTGTATTTGAACTTAAGTTCAGTCTCTTCGGCAGACGAGCTGCTCCACTTCAGTTTTACTGAATAAATTTGTTTCATGTTCTGCTTCAAGTTTTCATTCAACACGGACGACCTGAAGACCCAACATAAAATATTAATTTATTTGCAATAACTTTTTTAATCAAAGTCTTTTTTATTGATTTTTTCTTTTCAGAACACACAAACAAAAAAATACAAAACCCCCTCCCTGAACGATTCGGCCACACAGATAACACCACGACAGACAGGCATCGACATACTCTCAATAAATGTCTGCCAAGTGTCCCCAAATCTCTCAACGGATCCTTTTAGAGTACAGCAGTCCCTCGTTTATCGCAGGGATCTGTACCCTGAAGCTCCGCGGTAAGTGAAAAACTGCGAAGTAGGAACAGCAGTACAAGTAGTAGTTTATTTTTAAACCCTTCCCACGCTCTTGCAATATTCTAAACAATGTCTCTAAACTCTAAATGCTGTAAAACGGCACAGAATGTCATGATTCCAGTTCTCTTCCTCCAGCTGCTCTCTGCCAGCGCCTCTCTAGGCCACGCCCACTTCTCTGCTGCAGAGCGCAGATATGACACTGCAGGAGGAGGGAGCTTCTCCTGCAGCTTGGGCTGCACACTGGTGCTAAATAAAGTTACAATTATTTATTTTAAATAAAAATTGCATGACGATCGTGCGGCTCATCCATCAATCAGCCAAGTGTGTGTCATGTCCAATCTTACTTTAAAAAAAAAAAAACGCGATAGAGCGAGTCTGTGAAAAACGAACCGCAAAAGTAGTGAGGGACTACTGGATATCTGATCTTTCCAAATGAATATTACACATAACTTCTCTTATCCAGTGGTCATATACCAGAGGATGCAGATCCTTCCATCTGTGTAAATTATGTCTCCTGACTAGAAGAGAGCCTAAAGCAATCATAATCCTCTCGCACTTGCTGAAGGACGCATCCACAGGGGCCACCCCAAACAATGAAAAGAATGGCGACAGCCGGGTACACAGTTTTTCCACATATCCTAGAAAATGTATCAAAAATAGATTGCCAATACCAATAGGTCTGCAGCTTTGGACAAGCCCAGCTGTGTGTAAGAGCGTAGCTGGAGTTTGTTTACAGCGTTTACATGCAGGATCCAGGTCTGTCTTGATCTTGGGCAGCTCGTCTTTGGACCAATGCAGACGGTGCACCACCTTGAATTGAATTACAGCACGTCTCAACAGACCGAGGATGAATAAATGTTCTGAGTGATCTTATTTGTAATCATTTTACACAAACTGCCTGAGCATTTTTTGGAATCAGATCTTTTACCTCTTCAAGAAAAACAAGCTGATCTATCTGATCATCAGAAGCTCAGCTGGTACATTACAGGATGTCTGAGTGACTGGTTCTATTTAAAAATAAATCCCCAGTGATTAAATGGGTCCATATAACACCCCACTCAGGGACAGTATAACCCATATAACTCCATCCGTTGTTTTTACAGAACAGGAAAGAGAAATAGATCTCCAACCACACTTTCTACATACAACACACTGGTTTTGATCTGAATCCCCAGTAAAGAGCAGAACAATAAAAACAGGAGGGTCATAGTTTCCTCTTGGTGACGGCAGTTAAGAGTTCTTGTGTTCAGCTGTAAGTGGAGGGAGGATCTCTGATTCCTTCACTTCAGTTTGATCAACAAATCTCTGTTTCGCTCACTCAAACTAAAAGCAAACAGCTGTCGCACCGCTGGAACAAAAGCACCGACCCGCCTGACAAGCTCATGTGGGTCAGCAGCGAGGGGAGACTAGTTCTGGTAATGACCCATGTGGTTCAGCAAACGTCAGGACAAAACAAACAGCAGTTACCTGACGGGTGTTCTGGGGCTTCCAGGGAACTTGCGTGGAGAGCGGACCTTTGGCTCGAAGGACAGTTTCTCTTTAAGGTTTTCCAGCACAGACGGGGCCACATACGTGAAGCCCTGGGACACAGAAGGACGAAAACAGAAAAGATCTAACTCCACCTCTTCAAAGAGCTTTTATTTTATTTATTTTTTAAAACAAGCCACAGCTGATGAGGAGCAATGAAACGCTGAGTGAACTTTCTCATGCAATGTGGTGGAAAAGTGAAAAACTTCCAGGAAAATGAGCTGAATAAAACACGTGGGAACCAGTAAGACATTGTTGAAAAAGAGATGGGGACGACATGACACCCAGGATTTTTTTTCCTTCTGTTTACACAACAAACGCAATTGGCAGAAGTGATTCAAGAGGACAGAAATCACGTTTATTTTAAGCAACATCACATTTTAAACTCTTAATTCTGCACTGAAACGACAAACATTTCCATAAGTTGCTGTTTTACTTTCGGCTACTCCCTTCAGGGTTCACCACAGTGAGTGAACTCGCATGAAAGACTTGGGAATCGTTTTACAACAGCTGCCCCTTCGGACGTAACCTGGACTTGAACCTGTGGCCTCAGGATTCCAGGACTGCAGCACTGACCACTGAGCTACAGCAGCCCCCAAACACTTTCATCAGGTAAAGACACTGCCTGGCCAAAGAAAAGTTGCCACCAAAAACAAAGGTCACACACAAACATTTTGTTGGACCTCCTTCAGCTTTGGTTGCAGCGTGCAGTCGCTGCGACATTGTTCCGATAAGCTTCTACAATGTCACAAGATCTATTTCCATCCAGTGTTGCATTAATGTTTCACCAAGATCTTTCATTGATGACGGCAGATTGTGACCACTGTGCAAAGCCTTCTCCAACACATCCCAAAGATTCAGGTCTGGACTCTGTGGGGGCCAATCCATGTGTGAAAATGATGTCTCATGATCCCAGAACCACTCTTTCACAATTCCAGCCCGATGAATCCTGGCAGTCATCTTGGAATATGCCCGTGCCATCAGGGAAGAAAAAATCCATTGATGGAACAACCTGGTCATTCAGTATATTCAGGTCGGCTGACCTCGTTCTTTGAGCACAAACTGTTGCTGAACCTTGACCTGACCAACTGCAGCAACCCCAGATCATAGACTGCCCCCACAGGCTTGTACAGTCGGCACTAGGCATGATGGGTGCATCACTTCACCTGCCTCTCCTCTTACCCTGATGCACCCATCACTCTGGAACAGGGTCAATCTGGACTCAGACCACATGACCTTCTTCCATTGCTCCAGAGTCCGATCTTTATGCTCCCTAGCAAATTGAAGCCTTTTTTTCCCAGTCAGCTTCACTGATTAGTGGTTTTAAGGCTTCACAGCTGTTCAGTCCCAGTCCCTTGAGTTCCTTCACACTGTGCGTGTGGAAATGTTCTTACTTTCACTATTAAACAGCCCTGAGTGCTACTGTTGTTTTTCTTCCATTTGATTTCATCAAACGTTTAAGTGATCGCCGATCACGATCATTCAGGATTTTTTTCCGGCCACATTTCCTCCTCGAAGACGATGGGTCCCCACTATCCTTCCAGTTTTTAATAATGCGTTGGACAGTTCTTAACCCAGTTTTAGTAGTTTCTACAATCTCCTTAGATGTTTTCTCTGCTTGATGCCGATGATTTGACCCTTCTCAAACAGACTGACATCTTTTCCACGACCACGTCATGTGTCTTTAGACATGGTAGTTCAAGAAATAAGAAGCAGCTCATTGCACCAGTTGGGGTTAAATAACTTGTTGCAGCTGAAAGATGATCACTCATGCAGTAATGATCCAACAGGAGGCTCGTACCTGTTTGTTTAGTTAAATCCAGGTGGAGACTTTTCTTTTGGCCAGGCAGTGTAATTAAATTACTTGTTGAACTCTATTTTCTTTCCCTAACCTTTTCTAACATCAAATTAATCTAAAGCTCAAGATAATGCTAACAGAATCATTGTTAAAGACTAAAAGAATACACATTTTACATGGCCAAGTTGTGATCACCTTTATAAGAGATTACTAATTATGAGTTATTGTCAGAGTTTGTCAGATAACTCCACTTCAGAAAACAGGAGCATCGTGTGACTCCAGCTGTAACAC